TTCCTAATATTTTCTAACCAAGTCTTTTTAGGTCTACCCCTACCTTTCTTAACATAAGTCAAATCTAATACCTCTACTCTCCTAACCGGGTCATCGCAAGGCCGCCGTTTTATGTGACCAAACCATCTAAGGCGACTTTCTCTAATCTTATCTTCTACTGGAGCTACTCCAACCTTTTCACGTATATGCTCATTTCGTATCCTATCTCTAAGGGTAAAGCCACTCATCACCTGAGCATCCTCATCTCTGCCACACATAAGATGTTATGACATCTTATGCACCTTACAACAAAATTAATTCCACTCTCTTAGTTTAGCTAATGAGCTGAACAATGCAATGCTTAAGACACTTCGTACTCAAAATGAAATGGTTTTTAAAGACTTAAAGAAGGTGAGAAGCGTGTGCTTACTGTGCTATATAAAAAAATTCTCTCCATGCAAATGTTTTTTGTTAAATCCCAACTGTCCCTTGGCATTTTGATCCCGCATCTAGGATAGGGATCCACCGGAGGCTCACCTAGATTGTGCCGATCTACATCATCCCTTGGTATTTTGATCCCACGGCTAGGATGTGTATCCGTGGGAGGCTCACCAGGATTGCGTCGATCTCTTTCCATATTTAGTTAGCTGATTTAGGAAGAATTATATTAGAGCGATTATGCATGATTCTATAATTAATTGTGTTGACCTAAAAAAAATCAAATCATTGCATACCTGACATATGTCCCTGCACAGCTGCCACATCTACTATAACCCTTCAAAATTCAAGATTTTTGGTGTAGGTTCGTTCAGTACGAACTGATTTCGTCTGTACGAACTGAATAAGTGCAAAACAGAGGAGATCGTCCCGGTACGAACGAAAATATCGTCCGTACGATCGAAATATCTTTTTCTCTATTTAAGGATTGTTTGACACGTTTTGAAGAGAGAAAAGATGAGAGAGAAAGAGTAGGAAGAAAAGGAAAAAAATTAGTTTCGGAGGCCGCAGAGTGATTTTCGTCCGTCGACACAGTTGGAAGAATTGTTCATCTCACAGTAAGGAATCCATATCATATTTCTGATTTCGAAGATTTCGTGTTTTGGTATTTTTTCTGCTCAGATTTGTGTTTCCGTTACCGAAAAACGGGCTCATCTTTGTATTGACGAAACTTTCACTATGTAATTTTTTATATGTTATAGAAAATATGATTTTGCACGTTTCGAATATTTTCTGGCAATTTTTCACCAGGTATTTTGATATCTGCGGGGTTATATCGAATAGAAAATTATTTGGATGTTGAAAAATAGTGCTACAGTACAATAAAAAGTTTTGAAATGTTGTTTACGATCTCTAGTAATTTGATAATTTTCTGAAACTGTGCATTTTATAACGACTTCTATCTA